GTGTCTCTCTCATATATATATATACACATCACTTAAGCTCTAAACCCCGAAATCCAACACCCCCTGGAGGACCGTCTTCTACCGTGGCCGCATCGCCGGGCCGCCAGGGCATTTTGAGAGCTCTACAGAGAAGGGCTCGCAGCAGGCCCGCTTTCACGGCAACCTTAAACCCTACCCTAACCCTCCAGGTACCTACTACAGAGGGTACTAGAGCCCCTACTAGGGCCCTGTATAGTAGGTACCTGGAGGGTTAGGGCTAAACCTAAACCCTAAACCCTAAACCCTAAACCCTGAAAGCCTAAACCCAAATGCTTAAATGCCAAGTCCTCAAGGCTCCGGCTAGAGTTCTAAGCCCTGCACGAAGTCCTAACCCTCTAAATCCCAGCGTTACTGCCAGGGGCACTTTTTCAAGAGGCTGCCCACCACGGCTTCGGTGAAGACTCTCCTAAGGGCGTCTTGGGATGAATCCCTTCGTATTTCGGTTTTTGGGGTTGTAGGTTTTGTTTACTGTGTCAGGTGCTCGGGTCTAGGGGGTGTGGCTTCTATTGATTCTGGTCATATTTCGGTTTGTTGGTTCAGTGTTCAGGTGTAGGTTTCGACTAGGAAATGCGCCAGCCAAGCGCCGACAAGATGGGCCAACGATAACACCACTCTATGCCTGATCGGTCGGTTGTCGCTTGTAGACCCAGTCACACTTAGTGCATCATCCCCTGCATCTTTCCCCAGATGCCACCTTCAGACCCCGAAGAACCGTGAAGCTCTTGAGCCGAACTCTTTCTCTGAAGCCGAGCGAGGTTTTAGCCCTGAGCCCGTCAAACCCTTCCCATGCCAGGTAGTGCAGGTAGTGTGCACTCTTGATGACGCTCGAAGCATCTTCTTCCTACCGCAGGGCAAATCTTACAGTCTTACAGATCGCACTCCCTTAATCTGCAAGTCCTGAGCCTCAAAAAAGCTGAAACGCTAAACCCTAACCTGGTTTTTACACTCCAGGCCCAGGACCCCAAACTCTCAGCCCTGAGTATAATGTTAGGCCTTTAAAGCCATCGAGGTGAGTGTCGAGGGAGGGCCCTGCGGAGCCCGCGCCACTGTTCAGCTCCTGGGCATCGAGATCTGAGGTCCTCCGCGACTGTAGGATTGGGCTTCGGATTTCCCTAGACCCTATACCCTTTTTGTAGGGTACCTATAAAGCCCATGTTAGGATTGTAATCAGAACCTCCAAACAAGGTTATGGTAGTTAAGTAGGTTATGGTAGTTTACGGTTGTGTCCAAGGTTTAGGGTTCGTAAGCCCATTTACCTGCTGGCGAAGTTCCAGGTTTTGGACTCCGGATTGGGGGGGCTATCGTCCAGAGTCCCGATGCCACGGAGCCCAACAGTCCGTGAGGCACTAAACCCTTGATGTAACACCTAGACCCGTAGACCCTAAACCCACCCTAAGCCCCTAGACCCTATAGATAGGCCCTATACCCTACACCCCTAAACATTGAACATTGTACCCCAAACTCACGGCACTTTAAGCCTGCAGCACGAACAGCCTTCCTACGCACGCCCGAAGCCCTCCCAGTCGGAAGCCATCTCGCAGACCCAAAGGTTCGGAATGGTCGGCTTTTGGATTTGATTAGGGTTTATAGGGTTTAGGGTCAGAGCCGTCTAGGGTTTAGGGCCTAGCACATCATGAGCACAAGCAGAAACGCACACGACAGTAGTGAGCCTGGGCCCTCTAGGGGTTTCAGGTTTAGGGTTCAGGGTTTAGGGTTGGGCGAAAAGCCTGACGCATCTGGTGTGATTCCCAGGCTGTGAGATTCGAGGGTTCAGAAGCGCCTTCAAACCAGGGATTCTCTTCGGGGTGCATCTACCAGCTCTCCCAGGTTTAGGGTTTAGGGTTATTTGTTAATTAGGGTTTAGGGTTTAAGGTTTAGGGTTTAGGGTTTAGGGGCTTATATACTGACTGGTAGATCGATTGTTTTCTAAAACTACATCAATTTGGCTTTTTGTGCTAGTTACGGGCTTATGGGCTATCCTTGAAGCCCGAGGTTGGCTGGCCGAGGTGTTCGGTTTTCAGCTGTCGAGATCTTTGGGGTTTAGGGTGTAGGCGTAGAGGGTTCTGGGCTTACCAATTCTAGGTAGTAGGGTTCTTAAAGCTGTGAAGAACCCTCAACCCCTGAACCCTAAACCCTAAACCCCCTACACCCTAAACCCCTAAGCCCTAAACGCAAAAGCTGCACTCCACAGCATTTCAACGGCCTCCCGAAGGTAGGCAGGGTCTTATTATGGGTTCCTTCTACAATAGGTCCTTAAAGAGGTAAAGTTGTGTGAGGTTAAGGTGGGTTTGCACGGCCCTCGTGCCTCCAAGCAGAGACCCAGGTTTCCAATTGGCAACAAGAGACTGCTGGACTACCTGCGCACCTCAGAATGGTTTAAGGCTTTTAGGGTTCAGGGCACTGGATTCGTCAGTCAACGAAACCCTACGTCCCAAACCGTATGTAGAAGCCGAAAGATGGATCCATCGTGCGGGCCATACGAGGAAACCGGGCCGAAACCCGAAAAGTACATTCACCCCTGAGCCTGCGTGAAGGTACTGGTTTTTCAGGCTTTGGGGCTGACGGGCTGAGGAGTTTAAGGTCTAGGGATTTTCATTCGGGGTCAGGGTTCAGGGTTGTAAGTATTGGGCTTTGGGTTTCGGGGAGAGGGGTTCAGGCTTGAAGGCTTGAGGTTTGGGGGGTGAGGGTAATAATGTAAAGGGGTCGAGCCTGCTTTCCTTTTCCCATTTGTGGTTTTTTGCTCATGGCCATGACAGCCAGAGGAAGCCGTGTTTCGTTCCCATTATCATTCCGTCCTGCCAATGGCTGTACATCGGTTTGGATTCGGTGGCGAGCTGATGTCGTTGTATGTAGCGTCTTTGCTTCCCTTCATATAAAGTTCATCAAGCTTAGGCCGAAAGTTGTCCTCAGGAACAGGCTCCAAGTAGCGCATAAGTTGGCAAGACAAAGTATGGCGTACCTGGGTAAAGGTACCGACAACACCGCCTATAGCTTCCCGTTCACCAGAAGAGCGCAACCGTTGAGCTTCAAGAAACCCGAGGTGAGGGCAAGCAGTCCGGGTGGGTGCCCGTCGACACCTCCAAGGTGCAGATCCTTGAAGCCCGGCACAGTTCTTAGTACAACCTAGACCCCAAACCCTAAAACTAAAGCCCTAAACCCTAAACCCCAAAACCCTAAACCCTAAAACCCTAACACCCTAAACCCAAAAACCCTAAAGCCCTAAACCCTAATTAAACTTGTTCTCACTCACTTGTTTAGGGGTTGGGGTTTTTGGGCATTGGCCTTGGAGCCTTCTAGCCCCAGACCATGAACCCCAGACCCTGGACCCTAAACATTGAACCCTAGATCCCAGACCCCGAACCCTCATGGAAGAACCCTAAACCCTAAATTCTCAGACCCTAGATCCTAGACCCCGAACCCTCATAGAAGAACCCTAAACCCTAAACCCTAAGCAGCAGAGCGCTACGAAGGAAGGCAGCATCGGCAAGTTCTGCAGCGGAAAGAGCCTCGGCCGTGTGATTGTTGGAACATTTGGGTTCCTTTGGCTCCGTTGGACTCTGGGGTTTAGGGTTTAGGTAGAGGGTTTAGGGTTTAGGTATAGGGTTGAGGTTTAGGGTTAAGGGTTTGGGGTTTATAGGGTTCAGGGCTTCAGGCTTATAGGGTTCAGGTTTTAGGGTTTAAGAACATGATAAGGGTATCTACAGTGTCATCAGACTGTCTACGTATCTATATGCTACCTATCGATCGATCTATCTATCTATCTATCTATCTATCTATCTATCTATCTACCTAGTTAGCTATCTACCTCTCGATCGATCTATCGATCTATGGATCTATCTATCTATCTGTCTGTCTAGTTAGCTATCTATCTATCTATCTACCTATCTATCTCGTTAGCTATCTATCTATCTTTCTATCTACCTGAATCTATCTATCAATCTATCTATCTATTTATCTAGTTAGCTATCTATCTATCTATCTATCTATCTATCTATCTACCTATCTATCTAGTTAGCTATCTAGCTGTCTAGCTGTCTAGCCATCTAGCCATCTAGCTAGCTATCTATCTACTGGCTTGTCTATCTACTTTTCGTTCTGTTTACCCACCTACCTACCTACCTACCTACCTACCTGCCTGCCTGCCTGCCTACCTACCTGCCGTAAATGAGTGACCTCACAGCAATGAAGAGGATCGATCACTTCTGGACCGGGCATGGGGCAAACAAGGCCGGTCGGTTTCCTTTCTAGGCAGATGCGCTCCACATAGACTTTGGTCCCTTGGAGCAATACAGGCGCCTTGACATTTAGGATTTTAGGATACGTTTTGGGCCCTTGTACAACATATTCAGGGGGTGCTATTTCTGATTGTTCTTGGAGGAGTTCAGCATGGGTTTTGAAGAATATGATCTCATAGTACCCTGAAAGTCCCTATAAGCTTTAGGCGATTTCAGAAAATGCCAAAACCACATTCTGATGATTAAGGCCCACCAAATTACTCCAAATTCAATGCGGCTGTAGGTATTTGTTGAGAGTGGCGTACTTGAGCACTCGGATTAGCTCTCAACAGCCTTCCCAGAGATGGTCGTTGGGCACCGGCCCTTTGAACCCCAAACCAAAATCCTTGACCCAAAACACATGTGACCTGTAGGTTATGAGGGTTTGCGTCACATATCTGGAGACGTAGTTCGACAACACTTCGGGGGCTACTCGTAAGTCCTGAACCCTGAGCCCTGAAGACCAAGAGCTGCCAAGCCTTGAGCCCTCCAATGAGCCATTCTCACAATCGTCATACCTTCATATCTTACCCAAATTGTTACCCAAAAGCCCTCGAACCCTGATTCCAATAATACCGTGAAGTCTTTTTTCCTCATCTGCTCATGTTTGCTGTTATTTTTTATGTCTCTGCTGATCTATCAGTTTGAGCCCTACCGTTTAGGGTTTAGGGTTAAACCCAGGGCCCTGAGCAAAGCTTATTCCTTGCCAGGGGTGGATCCTTGGCTGCCAAAAGTCCTGCGCCCGCGGCCGGGAATTCGCCAGCGGCCACTTCGGAGGGTGCCGGGGTTCAGGGCTTGATATAGGGTCGGAACAATAATCAGCATATTGGTGCCCCCTTGTCGTGCCCGATATAAGATGTATGTGTTTGTCAACTATATATATATATACACACACATACATATACACACCTACCCAAAGACCCTGTTGTAACTTTTCACCCCTGTACAAGGGTTACGGCGGATATGGTTCGTCTTGTTCAGGTTTTGCGCGCACTGTGGAGCTAAGGGCGTAGCTTTCCATATGTCGAGGCTTCAGCGTCGATGTGGCTTTCTTTTTTCGCAGTTTGCAGCTTTGCATGTTGTACTAGGATTTATGCGGAGGTCACCCTAAGCCACTGTATAAACCCTAACCCTGAGCCCTAAACCCTAAACGCTTATTCAAACCCTAACCCTAAACCCTAAACCTCTATATAAACTGTAAGCCTAAACCCTAAACCCTTATACAAACCTTAATCCTAAGCCCTAAACCCTAACCCTAAGCCCTAAACCGCAACACCAACAACTTTTAGAGGGAGCTTCAGGACTGGCACTTGCTTTCAGGCTCAAGGGCCTGAGGGTGGACATGTCGAGGGTTTACGGCTTCGGGTTTCTATAAGGGTTTAAAGCTTCGGGTTTCTATAAGGGTTTAGGGCTTAGGGTTTCTATAGGGGTTTAGGCCTTAGGGTTTTTATAGGGGTTTAGGGCTTAGGGTTTGTATACGGGGCTTAGGGCTTAGGGTTTATAGAGAGGTTTAGGGTTCAGGGTTTATACAGAGGTTTAGGGCTTGGGGTTAGGGTTTATATAGTGGTTTAGGGTTTAGGGATAGGGTTCAGCGTTGCAGGCAAACAGACTAGGTCAATCACAGAGACATATTAACAGTAATCACAGCAGTATAATGACTCTATAACAGTAACAGAATCGAGATACAATACCCGTAGTAATGAATCAGCAATACGAGGCTAATGGTGTCGTAGATATGGAGGGTTGTCATGTCGAAGGCTTAGATTCATGGAAAGCTTGAAGCCTGCATCGGACACTTTGGCGGAATTGTTTAGGGCTTAGGGTGAGGAACTTCCTCACCCGCGATATGGCGAGTCTGGCAAGTTAGCTGTTTTTGGTGTTTCTTTTGCCTAGGTTCCCGGTGGTACCCTTGTACCCTTGTTGTGTTAGGACTCCCTTGCAACTGAGTCTAAGGCAATACATAACCCTGATATTATTTGGATGGGGATCCAAGTCTTCCACAAGTCGAAAGTACTGGGGGGTTAAATAATAAGTATGTGCCATAGACTCCCATTGTAAGTATATTGCATCATACCTCCCTGAAGCAAGATATTCTGATCATAGGGGCTACACTAGTGTATTGGTATCCTTTAATCACTGCTCCAGGAAGTCTGCAAGAAATAGTTGACCAACCCGTTCAACATCCCAAACCCTGAAACCCAGAGTAGTCAGCTGGGCTCCCTGCATTGAACTTTGGAGGTGTGGCAAGAGTTGCAAAGGGCTGGGTGACTTCAAGGACCTGTCAAAGACGGACTGGGCCTCAGCAAAGCCGGCGAAGCTTTTGGAGAGTAGCGCCCAGGTCGACTTTCTGCGGGACTTTCAAAAATCAGGGAACCCGTACCCCAGGCCCGAATAGTATGCTGTTTCGACACAGGACCCAGTAAGTTGAGTTCTTCGAATTTCTTTAAAGCTCCCGATCCTGCCTACAACCCGTTTCTACCTTTCAACCCACCGTCCGAAGAGTCGAACAAATCCCGACGGGTAGGGTGTAGGGTTTAGGGTTTGAGGGTGTTGAGGGTTATTTGGGGTTTTGAGGGTTTTTAGGGCTTCAGGGCTTTAGGGTTTAGCTTAAACCTTAAACCCCAAACCCCTAACCGTGGTTTAGGGTTTAGGGTTGTAGCTCCTTTCCTGGGTTCCAATATAGGGTCCATTTGGTTGAACCAGAAAAAGAACTACAATGGATACTATAGGACTATCCACAAACTTTCCTGGACTCTGGAGTACCATACTTTAATGCTTTTGTTTGGACCTGTTCCTTAAAGGAACCATCGTGACATGACAACTTATACATTTTCCCCCAGGCAACTTCAAAGCCCAGGTTCTGTGCTCTCATCTGTGTCGTACAGGCAACCGGTTTATCAGGCCAACCATAAGACCTGAGAATGGTCATATAGGGGTGTGTCTGTATACATAAAAAAAGGCACTAGGATCCCACTTTCAGGGCCACGTCTCCCTATGTTCGTGGAGCCCTTTTAAAGAGCGGTACCCCCGAAACCCTACCCACAACGCAACACCTATCAAGGTTTTTGTTCTGCATATTTTTGGGGTCCAGGTAAACCCGAAACCCGAAGCCCTGAGCCCCGTATGCATGGCTGAGGAAGTGACCATGTCGTTTGGCCAGGAGCCAGCTGAGACTTGGCGAACCCATACAGAATCTGAGCTGAGTCCCGGGAGGATATCGTAGTATCATAAATGAACGAACCCCAAGGAATATGAGATTGTCTTCATTGATGATTATTGTGGCTTCTGTGCTGCCATAATATTAACTAGTTTGGAGTTACTTGGGCTGCGGCAACGGGAGTTTGCCGTGAAAGTGCATACTACATGGGTACAGTGGCGCTTGGGGCCATAAGGAAAAGAGTTGCTCTTTGGACTTGGATGTCCAGGACTCGTGATTTTTTGGATTTGGGGTTGGCTGGGTTCAGCCTGTAGAGTGATTATTGGTATTTTCGGGAAACCCTAAACCCTAAACCCTAAACCCTAAACTTCGGGACTGGAGGGATCCATGGATTTGTCAAATATCAGGGAAAATGGGGCATTTGCATTCCGGCTTGAAGAGGACGACTTCTCTGTCCCCTCGTCAACACCCGAAAGACTCTCTTGCTTTCCTAGGCACAGAAGCGTCTAAGTCCATAGCCCTGATGAGCTCGTAATCCCAAACCCTACGACACTATCAGCCAGAGGTTGAACCTCTAAAGGCAACCGTCACCCCGACTTACCCTCGGAGGAGTTGCCAAGGCCTCACATAGACATCGGGCTTATATCATGAATGAAAGAGTTTAGCGTTTTGGGTTTAATGGCTTTGGATTTGGGGCCTGGCTATGAGGCTGTACATTTAGCTGGCTTGGCCACCTATAATCCTGGGGCGTACACTAAACTGAGCTCATCTCTAAGCCTTATAACTCACAGGCCCCTATACTAATAAGCTCTAGCCCTAAACCCTAAACTTGCCATAAACTTTGTTAAAATACTTAAACCCTAAACCCTGAGCCCTTAACCCGAAGAACACTCCAGGAATTCTGTGGCTGGGCACCCTTTCCGGGCCGCAGTCCAGCTCATGCAGATTGCCGTCACGTCTTCGAGCACCCTTCGAAGGTGACTTGGGACGGTCTGCCCTAAATTAGGGTGTTGGGTTCTAGGGTTTGGGGTTGTAGGCGGTGGGGTTTATCCTGAAAGTCCCTGGGTCGTGCATAGGTGCTCCAATGAATGTCATGTACAACGGTCCCTTTGGGGGATACCTTTTAAAATCCATAACTGGTTAAACCAAAAGCAGGAACTGCAATGGAGACTATAGGTAGGGGCTGGGTTTGGGGTTCAAAATTTCGGTGCCCGTGGGCTTACGACCCAAACTTCCGGGGGCATGGTGTCTAGAGGTTGATGTGTCGCGTTCCCTCTAATCCCTATCCCTAACTGAACCTACCTTTCAAGGACTTGTATAAGGAAGTCATACCAGGATCCCTGCAAATGTAGGTTTGCTGGGGTGTACTCATGGCATTTAGCCGCTTCGAGGTTTGCGCTTCAGAGGTTTGTGGCATATAAGGGGTGTGGAAATAACGCGGTGAAGAATATTAGTACTATTAATTGTAATATTCCTATTCCTTTGTGTCCCCTATATATTTAATTACTTGATACCATGAAGAACACTGTTTTGCCGTTTATGGCCCCGAGATAAGGCTCCGGGCATTCATGATTACGATTCCCAGTCGTTTGGCGCTTAAGATTTCGGAATTATGGGTGTGCAGTGTGATTGTTCAGGTACTTCGGGTGTCTGGTTGGATCGATTAGAGCTCTTCAGGTGGATGTGGAGGCCGGAAGAATTAGTATCCATATTAGCCCCGATCGATCTATCTATCTATCCGTCCATCCATCCATCCATCCATCCATCCATCCATCCATCCATCCATCCATCCATCCATCCATCCATCCATCCATCCATCCATCCATCCATCCATCCATCCATCGGTCTGTCTATCTATCTATCTATCTATCTATCTATCTATATACCTATCGAGCTATCTATCTATATGTCTTTCTTTCTTTTTTTATGTATATTATAGTAGGTTTGTTCTACGATAGTATGTAATATTGTATTCTATTGTAGTATATCGCATTGTATTATACTGCTTTATTCCATATTCTAGCATGTTGTATTAAAGTGTATGTTATACTATACCATATTATAGTGTATTCTATTCTATTATATATATATATATATCAATATATCATATCATATATATATATATTATCTTATGTTATACTATGTTATATATATATATTATATATTATCATGTTTGATTGTGCTATACTAAGTTGTATTATAATATAGTATAGCATATTATATTTTATTATTCCCCAACAGCGGATACGC